GGCGTCGGCCCAGCAGTAGCCACAGCCACAGCCTCCCCCCTCGGCTGAACGGACCGATTCCCCCCCGCCCGCTGCCCCCTAGAGGCTGGGAGCTGAAGGACTCTGCTGGGCTCAACCCAGGCAGCCTCGACCTGGCCGTCCTCCTTGTTCTGCTCCCACGGACTGCTGCAGATGGGGTCCTGCGCTGCGTCTCTTGGACTTTTGACCTTTATCTGGGGGGAGGGAAGGGTGTGACTCCAGAGGGGGGTGGAAGGTGGGGGGAGGCCGTACTCCAAGAAGAGTGAGTGAGAGGTTCTTGTAATTGCAAATAATTCTCCAGTCCTACCTGTGTCCATGTCGATCTGCATATATACAGTGCATTCTATGTATATGTCTGTATATATAGGAGTGCATGAGTGTATATATTCACTCTTTAACCAGAGCATGTGTGTATATATATATAATTATACATATGTATATACAGTATATGCATACATATTGCCTTCTCATTAGTGAGTAGAGAAAGATTTTGAGTTAACCTGAATTTCCTGTTTGTTTTCCATCAGAACAGCTGTTGTTATTCTGTTCTTGTCCTTGAGTGTTGCTCAGGCTCGTGGCTCGCTGGTGGGAGGGGGTTGAGGGCGAGAGACAGACAAGTCCCAGAGCAGCCCGGGCGCTGGGGTTTGAGTGTGCTGGACAGGTCTGCAGCCCCGCGGATGTGTGGAGGAAGTAACCGCGCGGCCGGTAGAAGCAGAGCCGAACCCACCTGGACTCCAGTCGCTGCCTCTGGCCAAAGCCAAACTCTCCCCTCGCCTCAGGATCGCTCCACTGGGAAAGCAGAGCCACAGAGCGCTGCCCCCTGCTGCTTCCGAGAGCTAATGAATGGGGGCGGACAGTGATCGACAGTGAGCTCCAGCTTTCGGGTGGTGCAGCCTCTCCTCTGGATCTCCAATGTGCTGTGTGGTTATGGACGTGTGGCCAGCTGACAGTCCTGATCGAGACCAAAGATGGTGTCATGTCCGGGCAGTACAGAACAACTCCTCGACAGTTCCTCAGATTCTTTTTTTGTATTGTGTGTGTATATATATTTTAAGGATTTTTTAAAATACATTTCAAAACCTTTCTAAATCTTGATTGCGAACACCAGAGGGAGAATATCAGCTGTTCACTCTCCTCTCCACATTATTTCAGCACAGGCCAACAGGGGGCGCTAGAAATCACAGGTGGCTCAGTTGTCAACCCTCAAGTCCGGAGAGCCAACTCGCCTTTCGGCACTGGACAGGACCCTTTTGGTTTGTCTCAGTGTTATTCAGCTGTAAATAGAAAAAGATCAGCTCTATCGCCCCTTTCTTCAGCTCCTCCAGGCTGAGTAAGAGGTTCTGTTCCTGCTCGCCACTTGAGCCTGGTTTCCTCTTCCTGCTGCATGGAGACATGACTGACCAGTTCCCTCCATGTGTGAAGGGTTTATGAAATAAACCTCCAACTTCCGTTTGTTCTGAAAACAGTTTTTGAAGTTACCTAGGATGCTTGAAGGGGAAAAAAAAAGAACTGGATTTTATTTTTTAAATCCCAAATTTATTTTGAGCGATCTGTCACCAAGTGATGCTTATAAACAACCCCTACAGACTGAAGAGATTCACCACCAGCCTGTGTTCCCATCGGCGCTGTGCTTGCACACCCCTACAGATCTCTCCTGCTTCCGCATTGCAGAGACCAGCAGCGTTTGTGTTTGTTAACAGAAGCTCTGGGCATAATAGCAGCTGTAGCTGGTCTGACAGTGGGCTGTCAGCGCAGACTGGCCCCCTTTCCCTCAGCCGTGTGTGGGGTGCAGTTCAGAGGTACACATCCTGCAGCAGGGAGCTCTGTGCTCAGAACACTGTATGCTCTGTGCAGGGAGCTCTATGCTGGGAACCCTGGTATCGTGAGCTCTGTGCTTGGATCCCTGTCTACACTGTGCTGGCAGCTCTGTGCCAGGAGCCCTGTGCACACAGCTACACAGCTCTGCACTTCACCGTGTCTCTGGGCTTTTCATTTCAACTGTGTCCTGAAATATATAATTGAAAGGATTATTGGCTTAGCTGAACAGTTAAATCCTCCATAGAGCTGAAAGGCCCAAACGTGCAAGGCCAGAGGTGTGATCTCCTGAGGGAAGTCTCAGCTCACTTGAGCTAGTTGTTGCTTTCCTTCTGTCTGTATCTCACGTTCAGGGCACCTGGACTCCTACAGGAGTGTAAGGGCATCATGGCGAATTACACAAGTGAAAACGTAGGTCTGATTTAGCCATGCAGAGTCACCTGGGACGAATGTGCTGAAAACCCTGTGGCTCTGTGTCTCTCTGGCTACAGGTTAATGCCCATTCACAACACCACCCAGAACCTGAGCTGGGAGGGCTGAGGATCAGTGTGTCCTCTGAGCGTCGCACTTATTTCGCAAACTACAGGACTGAGGGGAAGAAGGAAATGGACTTTTAAAAATCTATAATGACAAAACTGTACAAACTAAATGGTACAACCAAAATATATTGCATCTTGTACAATGTTACATTTCATGTAATATATTACAGTTAGCCTAAATGGTTATTGTAAAAAAGGAAAAAGAAGTCAGACTATCCTGGTTTGTAAATGTAATAAAAGATTTTTTGTGAGGGAGTATGAAATAATTTTTTGTACCTAAATAAAAGAATACATCTTTGTGGCATAACGTTGTGTTAGTGCTTCCTTAACTGACACTGAGCCTCCACAGTGTCGGTCACCCCAGGCATGCGAGAGCCCTCCTGAGCCCCCACTCTGCTAGACAGCCTCACCAGCAGCGGCTGGGGACATTAGTCTACTGCCAGTACAGCATTGTACAGTCTGTACCCCTGACCCTGCTGGCGGGCCAGTCAGTGTGTCTGCGGTCTGTACCCCTGACCCCGGTTCTGACTGGTGACAGGCCAGTCGGGGTGTCTGGGGTCTGTACCCCTGACCGGAGTTCTGACACACCTGCTAAGCCGTACTGAGAGACTGGGAGAGCTGTACTGACAGGAGAACGGAGAAGGGCAGAGCCCAGTCTGGGAGGAGGGAGGCTGTGACAGCACCAGGGACAGTCTGACTGGGAGAACCCGGAGTCTCTGTAGGCCCTCAGGATCTTCTGGCTTTGTGTTCGTTACATTAAATGTACCAGAATCTCAAGACATGGCAGGTGGGGAATTTTAGTGTTGTGAAAAGTAATGCAATGACTGCCATATCACATGTATTGAACACTTTCATTGCAGAGAATAACTTTACAGCAGACCTGAAACATCTCTACAGTCGGCCAAGAACAGTCTGTTTTTTTTACAGTGACAATCTTAACATTCTTTAAAAACTGAATTCAGTATTGAGACACCTGTCTGCCACCCCTGTTAGCGCAGCAGACGGCTGATTTAAGCTGTGTAGGAGAGATTCCAGCACAGGGCAGCCTGCACAGCTGTACCCGGAGCCTGAGGCTTGTTGACCCCTCAGCGGCAGGACGCCCGATTCCCGGGGCTGGACGTCCTCTCCGCCTCACAGCGGCTCGGGGGGGGGGATCTCGGCCTGCTGCACGAAGTCCAGCTTGTGAGTCCCGTCGCAGAACGGGGGGCGGGCTGTCTGCTTGCAGCCACACAGCCAGGCGGTGGCATCCTGCTCCGCGGTGAAGCGAAGGGGCGCCAGGCCAGGCGCCAGCTGCTTGTGAGTCCCGTCGCAGAAGGGCTGCAGCAGAGAGCAGGCAGGAGGGGGTGTTAACGGGGCCACATGGTTCACAGGAAGCGAGACGTTCAACACCCTGACTACAGGAGCGCGTGACAGCCTGAAGGCCAGAAACTGAGGACATGCAGAGGCGAACGTTCAAGGTGTACATCATTTAACTTCTGCAAGGCTGCTCTGCTCGAAGGGCCTGTGATTCTCAGCCAGAGTGCAGCAGATGAGCTAAGCTGTGCTGTGAACAGCTGAGCTGGAGCTGCACCACAGTCAGTGCCTCCACACTCAGCGATGAAGGTGCTGTGTTTAACCTCAGTGGAGCTTTGGAAACCTCCAGTGTCACTGATCCAGCAGACTTGAGCCCAAAGCTGGTGAAGTGGGCTGTGGGCTGTGTGGAGCCTCACCTGGTTCTTGCTGTGGCCACAGGAGCACCAGGAGTATCGTTTCCCTGCCTTCAGCTCCACCTTGTAGGGCTGTTTGGCTGCAATGACCGGCGCTGGGCTGCTGGACAGCGGCTGCACCTGCACAGAGAGACATTTTCACCGAGTTGCACTTTTCCAAATAAATCACATTTGCCTTGGAACGGAGGCTGTTTCTTGCTCTTAAAACAGAGCCCATCAGAGAAGTTTCCCGCAAAGCGACCGAAGTCAGTGAGACACCTGCTGCAGGCGACTCTCGGCGGACCGCGGCGGAAGCTCGGCTAGAGGGCGCTCGTGTCCCAGCCGCCGGGGGTCTCGCGGACAGGACCCTCTCCTGTAGAGGTCAGACCCATGCGTGAATTACTCGAAAACCGTTTGCAATCTTGAAAGCTTGTTTGATTATCAATATTTCACAAGTATTCTGATTGGAAAGAAAACACGCATTAACCTACATTTCACCACCAAAGACATATATCTTCGCTAATCAGATTCTGTTTCTCACCTCAAAGCATTCCGCCTTTAAAACCGGTGATTAACGGTCACCCGCGGGGAATGTCTCTCGGAAGGGCCTCTCTGTGATCCCAGTAATTTATAGTAATTAGAGGCCCGCTAATGAAATATGCCCTGCGGGCAGAGAATCTGTAAGCTACAGCCGACGAGCATGTGAGAGTGTGTCGGGATGTTACAACAACTATGCGCAAGAGCGCGAGATGAGATGCACGCGGGTGTTTTTGATTAAGGACGTTTGTCTTGTTTTTTTTTTTCCTTCGAGATCAGTCCATCAGCGCTCATCAGCTCAGCTGTTTAGCCTCCCGCTGCCTTTTCTACCTGTCACAGGACGTCTACATGAGCAAACTGACCGTCTCCGGCCTCCTGCAAGAGACAGGATGTCGGAATAATAATCAATTAATAATAAACCAGGGCTATGGAATCCGCCACACGTTTCCATGATCAAGTGCGACGTCAACAGCCCATGACAGGACAAGGGGAGATCTCTCTTATCTCTGTGCACGCAAGACTTCATGTGTCGCCTGTCCAAACCCCAGACTTTGTCGCGTATGAACTCGACAGCAGGCGTCCCATCTTTTGCATTTAGCTCGGGTAAAAACAGCAACATCGGCAGCCGCGTCAGTTCTGGTGCAGCCTCCTGTCCGCGTGCAGACGGGCGAAGTCCAACGACTTTCCCTCGCGATCCGTCTCGAGGGCAGGGGCGGACCGCCACACACGAGCCCCCTTAACTTGTCTGCTGCTCGTCTTAAAACGAACGAGACGTCTTCGGATCGTGATGCGGGATAAACACGAGTACGGTGCTGGTATTTACGACACAGATGATTCCCCGTTTTTACCATTTTCAACAGGATGGCATTTTCTGCAATACCTCAGCAGGAGACGCGGGGGAGCTCTTAGCCAGCAACTTGCTCTACGTAAAGAACACATTTTAGACGTGTTCCTCTGTACTCCTGCAAACATGTCATATTCGTCGGCATTTAACGGCCCTCTCTGTTTAGACACCGCTGTAATTGCACCCTGAAAACAGACCAGCTTAAAATCTAAGAAGCTGATCAAGTGGCAGCTCGGTGTTCGCCGGTACTGCCCGTGTGCTGCGGAGCTCGGCAGGTACGAGACACGGCGGCGGCCAATTCCTCGCAGCTCCGACAGCCTTGACTCACCCGGAGCCTGCAGCCGTGCCCCACGAAGGCCGCCGGACTCGCATTGCTCAGCGCCAGCCTGTAGACGCTCATCTCCGCCGCAGCTGCAGGTCAGGGCAGAGCCGCAGGACTGGGCGGCACTGGCGGGGCCGTGCGGGGCACACAGACTGCTGACAGAAGGTTCCGCTTGTCTGAAGATGCGTTCCCTGATGGGCTCCGCTCTAACTGACCAAAAACAGATTTTTCCTTTGTGAAAAAATCTCGAGTAGCTTAAGTAAGACGCACACCGAATTTCTAAACGAATGCGAACTACATTATCGGCGTGCTGGAAGTCCGTGACGGAGGGTGCAGTGTTCTGTCTGCTAAGGTTAACCTCTGCTTTCTTCCAGCTCCAGATCCGGGCTTGCTGCTGATACGGTGTAACGTCGTGGTAGAAAATGTCCAGGTCAGAGCGGGGTGTGACGCCCTCCTGATCTCCTGTCTTGATTTCAGAGGGGTTCTGGGTGGGCCTGTCACCGCGAATCACTGCTCGCTGTCTATGCAGAAAGGGACCAGTGTCAAGGAGCAGGGCCTCCTCGGAGCTCCCCAGCAGACAGAGACGAGGGCTTTAGTAAGGTCAGAGAAGGTCGTGCAGACTGTTGAGCTCCCAGCCTGTTTCCTGCTGCAGTGAAGGTGATTTCAGTTGTGTCTCCCGCGGGAGCTCATCAGCAAGGGCAAGCGGATGCTCTCCGCTGGACCCTCTGACTGGAGTATAGAGCTGATCCGGGATCTCTGCACCCCAAAAAAACTAACAAGCCAGGTGCCAAAAGTCTACAAGGAGAAAAAAACCGGCTGTATATCGCCTCCTGTGGCAATCCTGTGGCATTACATACACAACCTCAGAAAAGTGGGTAAATGATACAGTAAACTATTTAGGCTACATATTTCTAATAGCACAAACGAGTACGTATCTAATCATTAAGAAGAATAAAATACAATGATTTGTTGTCACCATCGATGGGCTTAGTTTTTTTTTTACTTTTTTGTAAAGAATAAAAAATGTATTACTTTTTTAATGTAGTATTAACGAGAAATGTATAAACTGGGAAACTCGGGGATATTATAAACCTACCTGTTCTTGGTAAATGGTGAGGTCGCCAGTATATCCGACTGAATGGAATCCCACTTAACCCCGTTGCTAGGCACCGCGGAACAAGCTTCGCGGCGTCGCTATGGATACGGCAGGATTCCACGTGAAGCTGAGAGCCTCGTGCTTGTCTGCGTTAATTGCCAAACAAAGTGCAGGAATGTGTTCAGCTGACGTTATAAATACAGCACCGCTGGGCTAGAAATACGCATTTCTGTATGAAAAGTTAGGGAATAAATTATTAAAACTTAAACCGTTATACAAATCAAATCAAATCAAAACACTCCACACAAGTTCAAAAGAAATGGCTATAAAACTCCTGAGTCAGGCGTGTGGGCTGGATCCTCCTGATCTTGTAAAGGCGGCTGTTGTAGTCGACCTAAACCACCGCGTCTACTGTGACTATTGTGAGTTAGCCCACACATCTCTCCCCGCTGGCTCTTCTCAAAGAATCGTTTTAAGTGTTTTAAACTCAAGTCCTCCCCCTTGTCACGTCCGTGAAATTCCGTGTTGTGTCAACTGTTTTTCGCTCTATTTAAACATTTCAATCTGAGCTCTCGTTTCAAACGTTATGGTGGACTATTTCAGGTTACAATGCAATAGTTCAACACTTAAATAGACGAATTGGGTTTTGTCGTTCTCTCGACAGCTCGACAGGGGGCGGCAGCGGGTCACATCGCGGACCCTGTGTGTTGGTTTCTCTTGTCACGCAGATCAGACGGACATACCTCTGAACGAGCACCTTGGACGTTTACTTATTCTAAACACAGCGATTACTCTGAAAATCAAATCCTAACTAATCCGTGGATCTCGTCCAGCCGTTTTTTGAAAACACCCGTGTACCAGCTTTGACAGCACAGCGGGCCAGATAGTTCCCGGCGCCTACACCCCTTTGTGTAAAGTGCTGCCTGTTCTTCCCCCCGAGTCTGTGATCCCTGGCTCGTCTTTCCCTCTTCTTTCTGAAGTATACTTGGTTGACTCTGTTAAGGGTTGAGGATAATTAAATCGAGCCGACCGGTTTTATTTTGTCATCCCTGAGCTTGATTCGTGAGGACAGCAGACACTAGAGAGGAGGTACAGCGGTCCTTGCTCATATCTCTGTGCCACACCAGGTAGTTAATCGCTCCAATCTGAGAATTCATCCCTAATGTTTTTTATTCATGAACTAATTATCAATTCAAATGTGGCTTTGAAAGCCCAGTACCGGAAATTCGATTCTCTTTCATGACAACCTTTATAAAACCCTTTCCCCCAAAATCTCAGTATACCGTATGTTCCGTTTGTAGCCATCCCTGCTTGTAATTACGATACTAATGGTAGCAAAAACGAGTCATGAAAAATTCGGAAACATCTGTTTTAGCTGTTTTTTTTATGAAAGGGTTTTTAATTCTGATCATAACTTTTGGGTTAAAATTTGGGATCTGTATTTTACCTCTACTGCACCTGCGATCGACATTCGGAACAATGTTCGGAAAAGTGGTTGAATGACGCGATTTAATCCCAGATGAAAAGAAATCCAGAAATTGTTACTACTATGACATAATTCTGAGAGTTAGACCTGTGAGGAAAATTCAATCGCTTTTTTGAAACTAGGATTGACATACAACGTCATTTCAACAAAACAAAAATACAATTGCGCTTTGTGACTTCAACAGAGTTTGAGCTATTGTAATCGATTTGAATATTTTTAACGTGTTGGTAACCGTATTTAAGATGTAGTAATGCCCGGCGCTTGATGACGCTTTATCGCCTTCAAAAGCGGTTAGAAAAAGTAACAGACATGACGTAACAACATTCTGCAACAGCATCGTTGCTCTCCTACTCCAAAGAAGCTGCGAGAAATGTTTTTCTCGACGAATTCTGGATTTATCTCCGAATCCAGAGTAGTTTGAAATGCGTCTCTGCAGAATCACGTTTCCGGGTGATCCAGACCTCTCTTTGGACGGAACCTTAACCGAGCCGCGAAATGGTCTCTTTTTAGCTCAAATCCCGCTCACTGGAGAAACACGGGCTTTAATAGATACCTACCTTAGGCAGACTTTAGACGCGGCTATTCAAGACCGACGTCTTAAAGACACGAACGACGAGGTAATTACCTGGACTTTTATTTATTCTATAAACACAGCGATTTGTGCAAGGAAAATAAACTGTCGAGACTTTTTTTTTGGCGCAGGGGGGAAGTCGATTAATAGCAGACCCATAAGTGGCTTTCAAAACAATTTCATAATCAGCAACATATGTCTGTCTCGGTAATCTGCGATTTCTTGCTCTTATCGAGTTACCCCGGAACGTGCTTTCTCTGTGCCCACTCGTCCTGGGCCGTTACTCGCGGCCCCTCCCCCAGGCGCGGAGGCGCGGAGAACGGCAACGACTGCCGGCTCCTGTCCAGAAGTGACCGGATTTCATACTCCGCGCCAGCCGCGGGCGGGGATAAGCTGTTCTATCCTCACGTGCTCCGTGTAGCCCGGGACGATGCCTGCGACCGCGGCGAAGCTCTTTGCTTTAATATGTCGTTGGTTTTTAAGCGACCTGATTTCCTGTCGCTGGCTGCTCTCCTATGAACGTTCCTCAATGACCGGTATTAAAAGGACGGAAGTTTGACGCAGCGCGTTCTTGTGGACAGGACGGACTGTAGTTGTCTACTTGATCTGTTTTTCCGTTTCATTATTGAAGTGGAGGCTTAAAGAGTATAAAGAGGATTTTAAATGCGTGTTTGAGATGCTACCTAATTGTATGTACGTGTTCGAATGTTTCCATCTAAAATTACATTTCCTTTGTAATTGGTAACGGTCCGTCTATTACACAGGAGCCCATAATTTACAGGCACTTAAACTTTGCACAAACAGGATTACAATGAATTTCACTATCCATACCGAATTTAATTGATATCTCTTCTTAGAGTAACTTCATGTTTCAATGTGAGACTAAGATTACGGCTTCTTGGTGAGCTGAAAGAGCGTGTGAAGGATTTTCGGGGGGGTTTTTTTCGGTTTCCAATGGATTTGTAAGCGTCCGTTATACAACAAATAAACATGATTCCGCGAGACACATGATCCACGTGGTTAATGCATATACTAATTATGCTGTACAATACAGAGTGCAAAGAAAGGCTTTTATGCAAGTATTTAAAATCAGGATTTCATTACATTGTCGGTGTAAGCGGTGGATTAATTAATTCTCCTCCTCCCAGCGGTGCTGAAGCATTTAGTCAAGATTCTCCTGCCTGACGGACAGGAGAGCACCGGTTCAGAGGAAAATGTTTTTTTTTTTCCCGAGATGCTACCTTTCCAGGCGACATTACTGACAAAATGACAGACGCGAGAAAAAACTTATCCCGTCAGCTGCCGTTTTATTGAATCGCTTTAGATGACGTATTCACGCGTTCAATCGCGCTCTCCTGTTGGAGGCAGGTAACTCGATAGCCCCACATCCTGCGACTCCTAACCCGGGTCTGCTGCAGAAGAGCCGCGCTCGTAGCGGAGGCGCCCAGCTGCTCTGTGGAGCCGCTGGTCTGGGAAGGCGCGCGACCCCGCAGACAGCCCGAGCTGGTCTCCTGCAGCACGCGGAGGGCACTACACCAGATATTTCACATGCAGTTGGCCAGTTTCGTAGCCTATACTCTGCATGTCATGTTTCCTGTCGAAAACGACCAGTGCAGTCGGTCCTCGTGGGGGTCCTGGTCGAGTGTTTGACTCCACCTGAAGATCGGCCGGTCGGGCTGTGGAGCAGTAACTGCGGTGCTCAGGCCGCCTGCCTGTGGCTGCTAGCGAGGGAACTAACTAGAACAATTGCACATGGTTTCCTCGTCCGCTTTGCGTGTAAATATTACAGCGGGGTTCTCATCTATGTTTTTAGAGGATCGTGAACCGCACTGTACAGAAAAAATAACTCAAAAGGGAAGCTTTTAAATAGCACAGACTTTATTGGCTACAAAAAAGTTTCCAGTTTCACACTGATGTAATAAAATATTTGAACCTTGTGTTCAACATAACTTCCTCTATACCTTTCCATTCTTTAATAACCCGAATAATCAAACGAGTTTAAATTGGCATGTTATTTGAACTGAAGTCTTTTGTTTAGCCACGTTATCCCCTGCAGCTTTCCCGAACATACAATCGAACAATACAAAAAATATTCTGCTTTGTGAAAGCAAATGCGATCAATCAGACGAAAGAACAATCTCCGAATTCTGCGCGCTGCGTTCGGCCGCGGCATGTTGAAGAGGTTTTGGCTGATGTGAGCTCGAATTTAATCCGCAGTATTTCAGGGTTGCTGGGGGTGGGGTGGTGGAGGAGGGGTCATTAAGATGAAATGTTTTAGCTCTATTCTGTTCTTTCTAGGCGACGTGTTTACATTCAACAGCGCCTTTTGTTTTTGGAGGCACATCTCGTGAACGGTTCCAGGCCCTACCCCCGCGCGCTCGCCCCGCGCCCCTCCCCCGGCTCCTGCTCGCGCCTCCCCGCCAGCTCAGCGGGGCCGGGTCCTGCCGAGGTCGCGGGGTCACGCCGGGGTCAGCGGGGTCATTGTATAGCCATTACGGGTCAATAAGCAAGTGGGCGGCAGCCCCTCCCGCACACAGCCCAGCCCGAGCGATCATTCACAATAGCGATGATGCCGCCAGTCGCCTCTTCCCCTGAACGGCGATATTATTAACACTTTCTGTCAAATCCAGAAAGTTAGAATTTGGAATTATTCCTGGCATATAACTGTTGTGTGTTCACCTTCACCGTGCATGAAGTGAAGAGGGAGGCACACGTTCTCACCGTGAGCTCTGAACACCGGGGCGTGCTGTTTGTGCAGCCTATTGATTTTCTAAGCAAAACTCTCATCTGGTTTCCCCTGCATTTCCACTCCTTACATTAGCTGTGCTGAACGATCTCCGGGAGAAGAACCTGTCCGGAAATCTTTTTCTTCTTGAAGAATTCTTGCTGTTACTGTAGTTCATTTTATTTTCGCGTTCTCGCCAGTCAATACAGCTCGGCAGCCGCGTGATTTCTGGCCTCGTGTTGCGGTGCTTCGTGTCCGTGTCTCCTGAACACGATCCCACGGCGCCGGAGTCCCGGGCGCTCGCGA